TGTGAGATGAGTGCAATTGTGTGGTAGTTTGAGCATTCTTTGGGATTGCCTTTCTTTGGGATTGGAATGAAAACTGACCTTTTCCAGTCCTGTGGCCACTGCTGAGTTTTCCAAATTTGCTGGCATACTGAGTGCAGCACTTTCACAGCATCATCTTTTGAGATCATTAGCAAGAGTTAATGCTATAAGGAACTCAGAAACTAGCCTTTTGGAATGGCAGGAACTGTAACGAACATACACTCTTGCAAACTCTGAGCTGACTTCTTCCTCAGTGTTGAATACGGTTAGTGGACAGTAAGATAACCTTAGGGCTTCCCTGATGGCTCAGTAGATAAAGAATCCTCTTGAAATGCAGGGGTCTGCCTGCAAGGCAGGAGACCCAGGTTTGATCCCTGGGTGGGGAACATCCCCTGGAGAAGGAAATGACAACACACTTCAGGATTCTTGCTTGGTAAATCCCATGGACAGAGGAGCCTGGTGGGTTACAATCCATGCAGTCCCAAAAGAGTCAGACAGGACTGAGTCACTAAACTGCTACCAAGATAACCTTTAGAATCCTGAACTGCCTGCCATTCCAAAAACATAAACACTCCACTTATTTCCTTCTAGCACATTAAGTTAATTCCTTTTATGACCAAGATATGGCATTTGGGTATATCCTTAAGCTTGGTTCCAGGTACTTACCATGTTTTTCTCCTGACCTTCCCTGATTTGTGTGCTTTGGGGTGTCTCCACTCTGGAAAGTACTTGCTCTTTTTTATTTGAGATTGTAAAAACAGGAAAAAAAGTCACATGAGATTGCCTCATTTATTTGAGCAGTCCTCTCTAATACCCCACCCCCTACCCCCTGCTTTTTATCCCACTGCTTTTCTTTTTTTTTTTGCTTTTCTTTTTTTGCTTGCTTTTCTCTTTAGTGTGATTTAGTTACCTGTTTCTGGCTCTTTAGAGCTTTTTCAAAACTGGATTAGCAGCAGTGTAATAGCAGTAACCCTTTAATTACGGGAGTAATTTTCTTTGCTTGTTTTGAACCCCAGCATTTATAGGCAGCTGCTATAAAAACCAAATGTGACTTTTTTCCTGCTTTTACAAGTTCGGGGAACTTACAGCAAAGCTTATAGGACTTTGAACCCAATTTTTACCTTTAAAAAAGGAAAGGTCAGAGCTGAGGTAGACTTTGCTTCCATTTAAACAAAACACAGAAATCCAGGATCAGTGCTAAAGTAATCCTTTCAAGATTCTATCATTCACCTGGGAAGAATAAATAAATCCAGTTAGAATCTGTTTATGTAGTTTTGACTTCATGGTAATCTAGTTTCTGGCCTTACATTTTCTTGACTGAGTCAGTAGTAAAATTGTGAAAACAGGAAGGAAATCAAAGGAAAGGCCTTGCTGTCCTGGGCAGTTTCCTCTTCCAATCATTTGTCATGTGGCCTCTGTAATTCTCTGTGTGTGTAATTTCTCATTTACCAGTATTGAGAGACTCATAAAACTGCCTCTTTGCCATGTAGCAGGCTTAATGATTATTTGTAAGTAGTTTAAGGCACAAGGATGAACGGTGGCCAATCCCCAGAAATTTTAAAAACTTAAATTTCTTTAGGGATATCAAACTGGTGGAAGGGAAGTTACTCTGAATTTGATTGATTGATGCCTCCAGAAATTACATTTTCTAAATGCAGAGCTTGTGATTACAGTTTAAGCTAGATACAGAAGTGGGCTTTCCAGGTGGTGCTAGTGGTAAAGAACCCACCTGCCAATGCAGGAAACATGAGAGATGCGACTTCAATCCCTGGGTCAGGAAGATAGCCTGGAGGAGGGCATGGCAACCCACTCCAGTATTCTTGCCTGGAGAATCCCATGGACAGAGAAGCCTGGTAGGCTATACAGTCCACAGGGTCACAAAGAGTCAGAGGGGACTGAAGTGACTTAGCATGCAAAGGTGTCTCAGAATTGGGGTTTTACCATTTAGCATACTAATGCCAAAGGCTTGAATTTCCAAGGAGGGCCTCCAACACAAATCTAGGTGGAAGGACCTTAATTTCTTTTCTAACAGGCAGATGTTGAGACTTTACAATTTTAAGATGATTCAATTTAGTGGCAACATTTTATCCACTACTGAGTGTGTGATCTTCTGTGTGTGTAGGCATTGCCAACCTCAAAGTGACTGTCTAGGAACTAACCAAAGACAAAGGAAGGAACAATGTAGGGCTTTGTTTTTTTTTTTGGAAGGGGCTGAGGGTGAGGGAATTTGTTGAGGGTCACTGAGGCGAGGAAGTAGATAAAGCCCAGAAGACCAGCAACATTCTTGATTCATTCTTGGTACAAACAGTGTGTTTCAGGTTTTTTACTGTGGGTAAATGGGGAACAGTTCCTGCCCCACAAGGTATGTTGACATTTGTCAGTTCTAGTGATTTGGACAGAATAAATGGATTTCCTAATCTTGGGAAGTGTGATGGTATATTAATCTGTTTGTAACCTTAGACTAAAAGACAGGACACACACATACCATTTAATTACATACTACAGTAAAATTCCTTGAACAAGTTCTTTAAACCAAAGAGTTGGAATTCTTAAAGATACTCAATGCATGGTTCCAATTCACTTATTCATATATCCACTCACTTATTCAACAAGTTTTATTGGACGCCTGTTCTGTGCTAGGCAGTACTGAGCAATCTCAGTACATCACACCAACATCTCTTACGCCAAGGAGTTGACAATCTAGACCAGTCAGTAGGGAGTTAAAAAAAAAAATCTGGCCTCTTTGCTACTGCGGTTGCATCGGGTTAAGGATCAGTCTCTCCAATTCGCCCACGTGGTCCTGGCAGGTAAGTGTGGGTGTGAGCGCGTGTGGCTGTGGCTCCTGGTGTTTGGGGAGTGTGAGAGCGCACGTGTGTCAGAATGGTGCTTGTCACAGTGCGCGTGCAGCTGTCGGCGTGGCACGCGTCTCCATAGCGGAGGGAGCCTGGCAGTGTAGGCTGCGGGAGGCGTGTGTCTCCCACCCGTGTACCGGAGGCGGCGCGGGAACCACCCGGCGGCGCGATTGTGAGTGAGCGCGAGGGCGCGCACACGCGCGCCCGTACGGGGGAGGGGCGCGCCGCGCTGGCAGCGCCGCGCGCAGGCTCAGAGCACTGAAGCCGGGCTGCTGCCGCCGCAGAGCGCCGGGGGCGGGAGGAGTGAACGAAGAAGGCCATGGCTGCCGCCGGCTGCTAAAGAGCTCGGCCCGCGAGCGCCTGCCGCCGCGGACGATGGTGACCGCACGGGTCGGGCTGCTGCCGCCTCCGCTGCCGCCGCCTCCCCAGACGCAGCATCCAAGGCCCGGCGCGGAGAAGCCGCCGCTGTGAGCCGCGCCGTCCCGGCCCCTGCTGCCGCCGCCCGAGAAGAGCGGGAGGGCAGGCGAGTGAGAGAGCCGGGGAGTTGCGGAGCCCTTCTGTCCACCGGCGGCGCCTCCCCGTGGGGAGGGAGGCCGCAGCCTGAGGTGAACGAGCCGTCCGTCCGGGTCGGCCCCTTCTCCCGGCGCCCTCGCCCCCATCCTGCATCCTCTCTTCTCCACCTCCCCCGTCCCTCCTCACTCCCTTCCTCCATCCCGTCGCCAGCTCGGTCCTCCTCTCCCCCTTCGCCCCTTTCCCCGTTCGCCTTCTTCCTCTCTCCCATCCTCGTCCCCACTTCACCCGCAGCGCCCCCTCCTTCCCAGCCGCCAGCCCCTCCCTCGGCCCTCCTGGCCCCCGCTTCGGCTCTCTCCGGCTCTGTCCTCCCCTTCCGGGGCCCCGGTCAGAGCGCCCTTTCCCAGCTCCGGGGCCTTCCCCGGCTCCTCTCCAACCTCCACCCTCCTGGAGAGAGCCCTCGTCTCCCCAGCATTCCTAAGATGCCCTTGCTCTGAGCGCTGCCCCATCGCCTCCCAGGACCCCATTTAGGGCCTTTTCCAAGCCCCTCTGAGCTGCCCCTTTTCCAGCTGCTCCTTTCCAGCTCTTTTCCTCCAGTTCCCACTTCCAACTTTCGGTCTTTTGCGTCTTTGTCCACTTGGCTCACGAGGTTCCCTCCATCTCTTATTTCACCCTACTCTTCTTTGCTTTACGCAGCCCCAAACTCAGCTGCCCCACCTTTCATTCGGTTTGAGGTGGTTTTGGGGTGCAGAAAGGCCTGCCAAGTCATTCTTCAAATGGGGACCCATTTGCACTATATCATGTCTGTCAGCCCTTTTTTACAGTATGAGCGGTCCTCATCCTTTCCTTTTTGTTCCCTTCGCTGCTACTCTCGTTCGCCAGGCCTTCTGCAACCCTCTCCACTTGCTTTTCTCAACCAAGGATCCCAAGACCCTTGCCCGCCCTTTGGGAATAGATCCCCTTTCTGTTCAGGGATGAAGAACTTCGCCCGCGTCTTCCTTCAGAATCTTTTTGGTGCGTGGCGCGGCGGAGCCAGCATCCTTGGCCAGAGGGGAGGGGAGCTCCCTGGCAAGGGCCTCTTTACTGGCAGAGTTTTTGTGGACGTAATCCCCTAGCCCCGCGGCGGCAGCGGCCTCGGTGCCGCTGCTGCGCTGCTGGCTTTGCAGCGAGCTGGGCTGGGGTTACTATAGTTCAAACGCGGCTGAGATCAGCAGGCGTGGGGGGCGGGGGAGGCGGTGCGGGGAGAGAGGAAGGGGGCTCTGCTGTGAGAAGGCATCAAAGATTAATGGATGGCTTTGCATCGCAGTCTGCAGTAAACAGGAAACTAGTTTGAAAGGAAACGAGAGGGACTGTGTCTTTTTATTTTTTAAAATACGGACTGTGCAGTTCTGGTGAATCTTGAATCTTGCCCAAAGGATGAGCTGTTGGTGCTGCAGTCGTGACCCAGGCTGAGCGCCCAATGGCAGAGATAGCAGTTTTTTATTTCCTCTGTCTGCCTGCTTAAGTTGAAAGATGGCCCTTGTATGCAGAGTGATTTCCCAGAGTGGATGTTTGCTGATTTGGGGATGATCAGAAACCACAGAATCGCTAGTACTTTACGTGGAAATCAGGTACATACACAGTTAGCTAGCAATGACTGGGAGTGGGAAGGATCAGCTATATTTAAAACGTGTTGCCAATGCTTATGTAAGAAGTGCGTTCTTCTCCCCGGTATCTGAGTTTTTGGCTGAGTTTACTTATGATTTTAGGCTTTAGCTCTGCTCTCTAGCATTTTCAGAACTTACCATCCTAACATCCGGACAGCCAGAAAATGTCTTTCTTATTAAGATTGGCTTTAGCTGATGGTAGAATCCCGCCCCCCCCACCCCCCAATTGGACTGGACAGAGAAAGGAGACTAATGGTGAATGATAGTTTTTTGTTTTTCTCCTTATGCTGAGGAGGAAAGGTGTAAAAACTTTCTGAGTTATCTAATATTGTACTGAATAATTTAAAATCGGGTTATAAGGCGTTCTTATTTTTGTTTTTTCTAGGAGATGTGAATTCTGTTCCCTTTTTGGGTAAGAACATTTTCATTTCTTATTTTTTAGCATAATTCTTCAGCTGATGAGAAGAGCTCTGACGTTAAAAACTTATATTTCTCATATTGTTGATGATTTGTTTGATTTCTTCATATTCAAAGCTAAAATGTATTTTCTGAAAGTGTAGAATGAGGTCCCCAGTGTATCCTAAACCACAAAAGTGAACGATGAATTGTGTAGCGTTATGCTGGTACAGGACATTCTTGTGTTCCTAGGTAGCAATTTGCTGCTTCCAAGCCTAGGAATGTAATTTAATGAAATCCTGTGGTCCTGTTTTTGGTTAGCTTTTGTTGAGCCTTTCTTTTTCTGTTACTGGAAAGGGATGGATTTTTTTTTTTAAAGCTGTTTTACTGTGTAAAGCATCTTTGAGCCACATTTAGTTTTCATTACTTTCAGAGACAATTTGTTGGAGTGTTACTTTCTCAGTTCTTTCCACATTTCAAGGAGGAAATTTAAAAATGCACAGAAGGCAAAATGTACATAACTGAACAAGGCAGGGAGTATCTTATATATTTGGCTTTAGAGAGTGTCAAGCCTTTGAATTTTCTTTGCCTTCAGCTCTTCTGTTTATTTTTGACGGTTAGTTGATCTTGTTTGGTTTTAGGAGAATTTTGAGCTTCCTCTGACTTAGAATATGCTCCCTAGCTCTGTTTAACAAGTCTTAGAAAAAGATAAATTAGGCTTGAACCAAACATCTTAGAGAAGGCTCCATTTTTACTTACTTCATGTTTTTAATTTAGTCTTTTGGCAGATGTGAGTGATTTGGCACATGTGAGCAATTTCAGGTTTCAACAAATAAAATATATTTCAACATTTTGTTTAGCTGTTAGTTTAGTGTGTGGAGCTCGAATGTAGTGTATGGTATTTATTTGTAATGGTCACACCCTGTCATGTGGCATTTCTATGAAGAATGGTCCACAATGGTTCCCCCCACCCCACCTTTTTCTTTCCATAGCTCTTGTGGGTTGCATTTTAGATTCAGCTTTCTATGTATTAAATTTGTTTCCTCCACGTCCCTATACATGCCCAGCTTGCCAATGACTTACTGAAATGTCCCTCACATACAGAAATAAATGAAACATTTCGTAAGCAATGTATTTGTTGTTAAAGAGGATATTTTGTTCCATCCAGGCAGTAGAGTTTAGGTGTCTGTCTTGGATGTTCTTCTGTTAACAGTAGGTTTAGGGACCCAAGATTTTCTTTTTATTCTTGTTCCGTTTGTGTTCTGTTCTTGTCCTATTTGTGTTCTGTTCTTGTCTGTTTGTGAAGTAGTGGTAATATAAGGGGAAGCATATATCATTCTGCTAATGGCCTTCTTTTGTAATAGAAATATGGTCCTTTGTAAGAATTATGGAGTTTTTTTTCCCCTTAGCATTTCAGATATTGATTTCTAATGCAGGATTGGTATTTTGTTTAGTTTTTTTTTCTTTACCCCTTTAAGAACTATGATAAATAGTGAAACTGGGCACTTTTAAAAACAAGAAAACATTAAAAACATACGAAGGCCCTAAGTCAGATGAATATGGACCACAAATATTAACTCATTAATTGTCCCCTTTTTTGTTACTTACAAAAGCAGTATTGATTCATACTGGAATATAAAATATGGAAAGATAGTTACTTTTCCATTAATGAATAAAGCCTGTCAGTGATATTTTATTTTGGTACATGGTAATTTTCACATGTGACTGGTGGTTTGTGAGAAAAAAAAAATGTTATCATTTATGTACTTTGAAATGAACTCCCAAGAGTGCACTGAGTTATCAGGTTGACCACCAGAGTAAGTAGTTACTTCCTGTGTATTTCCTTAAGTTATCTAGATAGCTTAGGCACATTATATTACACTTTTCCTAATAATATATGGGTATAGTGAAACATTTGTCAAACAGAAAAAGATAGAGGGGAATAAAAATCACCCCAGGGCCACTGGTGAAAGGATGTTAATGTGAATATTTCGTAGAATTTTTTTTCTTAATAATATCATGAGCTTTGAGAAATTTAGGCTCCTAAATGGTATAATTTGTAATAAATGTTGATCCAAGATTTTATTTTTCAGTGCTTTTTTTTTCTCCTTAGGACACAGCTATTTGGTTCTGATTCTCTGACAATATTCTGTTAAAAAAATTTTTTTTCTTGAAGTTGAGTTGATTTATAATGTGCTAGCTTCAGGTATACGGCACAGTGAATCAGTTATACATGTATGTAAATTCATTCTTTTTTTAGATTTTTTTCCCCATATAGACTGTTAGAGAATTTTGAGAATATAGAGTTCCCTGTGCTGTGCAGTAAGTCCACATTAGTTATCTGTTTTATATGTAGCAATGTGTCGGTCCCAATCTCCCAGTTTATCCCTCCCCTCCATTTC